GCAATTGTAACTGCGTTATAGTTACAGTAAGAGTAATCATTTTGATTACTCGTTACTAAAAAAGGTAGCGGCGTTAGTAACGCCGTTACTTTCAACGCCGTTACTCCCATCACTGTGAGATAGACACTTTCTTCTTTTTTGTACTAAAATCTTATTGGTTAAATTAGATTTTTTCTCTGCTGAGTCTGAGTCATCTGCCGAGTCAACTACTGTGTCATTTGGAGGTTGAGAGAAAATACAGTAAACATCTAAAGGCTCTTGAAGCTTTTTTGGATGTTTACTTTGGTTGTCTGTTGTCATCTTTTTGTTGTTTTTATGCTCTCTGTTTTCTGTTCTTCTCATTCCATAGACCCACCTATCCTGACGCGTCCTGGTTGGTGGAATGGACATGAGATGCTAACAGCAAAAAAAGACATAAAACTACATAAACAGAGAATCAAATTTGGAATTATTGGAAAATGAAACATAAAGTACTAAGAGAAGTACAGTATGTTTATAGTGTTGTGAGTTTTTAATATCTATATCTTAATGCTTGTCCTTCCTCTAATTTAGGCACAAACTGGTGTTTGTTTCGACTCATATCTAGAAATTATACTACAGTAACTATTATGATACTTTGACTCTGTCCTTGAAAAATTCAAATGAAAACAGTTTCTGACATACTTGCCTTTCAGATACCACAATAAAAAAGCTATACAACCCTCCTTTGCTAAAACATGTACGGTACATAAAAAATGTAAAGCATCTGGAATTAGTCTCAATGATGTAAATGTCCTTCCTAATATGAGGCATGTTCACCCAGTCACAGGAGGCTTAATGGCAAGGTGATACAATATGACATACAATGACTTCAGTTATATTATATATACGAGTTTGGGGTGGCCCAAACCTACTATTAATCATTCTTGTAGGAGCCTAAATTCAGTTTGAGATAAAAGGAATCATTGATAAGTTACAGGGGGATGTTGTCACGATGCTTATCCTCAAAATAGGATTACAGTATTTTATCTTCCTGAATATGAGATATTATTACCTCATTAAGAAATGATTAGGAAGTAGGTAGCTGTTAGCATAGCTGTTAAAAGTTAAAATATTAACCAGATCTTTTTTTTCCATCAATTATTTACTGTAAAATCTCCCTATTTTACGCATTAATTGTATGGCAATAGTCAGCCTGGAGGCTCTCTGGTGATTTTTTTAATGCTTGAACATAGCAGGGTCGGCATTTGTTCGCCCTGTCTTTCCCTGATCTCTTCTGGTTTATATACATAGAGGACACTGTTAGTTGTTGCCATAGACCCTTTATTGAATTGGCTTTTTTACTTTTCATACATCATTCTGTGATTTGGCTATTTGGCCCTTTCTCTCATCGCTGAGGCTCTGAAACAACAAAAAACAAAACAAAAGCAGAACAAGTTTTTCAAATTTCTGTGTGCATGTTTGCAGAAATTACTAAAAGATGCTATATAATTTTTTTTTTCCTTTTTATTGAACATCAGTGATACATTATATTGTTTGAAATACAAGAGACACAATACTGATATTTACATTTTAACCCCGCCACACCCCAACCACATGTTGGAAACCAATCCAGAAAGAGCAAATAATTGAAGCTAATACAAAAACAAATACCGTATTTTCACGACTATAAGGCGCACTTAAACGTCTTTTTTTTTTTCCTCAAAATGTGCGGTGCGCCCTATGGTGCGGTGCGCCCTATGTGTGTTGTAACTGCGACTTTTGAGACCACCTCATTGAGGAGATGATGAA